AAAGAGATTAAGATGTTAAAAGCAGGAAGTATAGAGTAGTGGACTGGAAAGAAGGAAAGTGAGAGGGTGGTGATTGATGGTCCAGTACCAAATGCAGTGCCTTTGGGAAAACCTACTTCAGCTTTAAAAAGACTATCAGCGGAGTCCTCAAATCAGTTTATATAAGGTGCTGGAATTCTTGAAATATTTTGGAGATTTCATCAAATTTCTAGTTGTAACATATATCTGTAGAAGTATTTTGTAAAAATTGAAATGATGTACATAATTCTATTGAACCCCATTTAGCTTTGTGTTACTGTTACAGAACCTCAGCTTTTGAGAGTTTAATTTTCCCAAAATGTAATTGAAATTATGACGGTCAGATAAAGGTTTTGTTACCTCAGTCTTATAACTCCAAATGTGATCTTCCCAGTTCAGTGGCTTTAAAGTTCGCTGTAATGTATCTTTTCTTTCCATAGGTAAAAATCTTTCAAGATCTCAAGTCAAAAGTAAATTGAGTATTTCTCATTCTGAGTGAGAAATGCCTTTTATTTACATTATTGTTAAGAGATGAAAGGTTTTTGTCCTTTTTCTAAGGTGGGTATGTATTCAAATCACTAAGAGTAGCCTGCTTTTTGAGGAGGGAGTTTGTGCATAAATTATTTGGAATTTGTCTGTATGGGAGATTTACTGCGTCTCTCATTTATTTATTGAGTCATTTATATCTGCACGAACTGAAGGACATATATTTTATACTTTTAAGTTGTAATTCAGTGTGGGATTATTTATATTGTTTCTCAAATTGCTTTTGCAATTGAGTATTCTTTCAGATTAGTTCCTGTATCTTTTTGGCATGACCCTCGTTTATTGTTGCTTGAACACTTTTTACTTCCTGGACCTCTGCATGCTTCAGGCTCACTTTGTGTATTTCATGTATTTCCTAGCCCAATCAGTCATTCCCATAAGAACCTTAGTTTCTTTTGTTGCAAGAAGAAATCTTACTCTCAGATCTACCAACCATTTGTTTGTGTGTTAGTACACGTGTACAGTGGTTTCAGAACCAGTTGTACAACTAGAGACTGGTATTTATATACCAGTCTTATCTACAGTCTTATAGTTTTGTTATAAAATCATTTTTCGGGGCCAGCATGTTGGTTCACTTGGTTAATTCTCTACCTCCAAGTAGTGGCATCCCATATGGGCACTGGTTTGTGTCTGGGCGGCTCCACTTTTCTTTTTTTTTTTTTTAAGATTTATTTATTTCTATTGCAAAGTCAGATATACAGAGAGGAGGAGAGACAGAGAGGGGGATATTCCGTCAGATGATTCACTCCCCAAGTGACTTCAATAGTCAGTGCTGTGCCGATCTTGAAGCCAGGAGCCAGGAACCTCCTCCTAGGTCTCCCACATGGGTGCAGGGCCCCAAGACATTGGGCCATACTTGACTGCTTTCCCAGGCTACAAGCAGGGAGCTGGATGGGAAATGGAGCAGCCAAGACACAAACTGCACCTGTATGGGATGCTGGCACTTTAAGGTAGAGGATTAGCCTGTTGTGTCACAGCATTATCCCCCATAGTGTTTCTTACGTGATCAAAGATAAGTTACTATGAGTCTTAAACATCCTGTGACCTTGTCGTCTATAATGTGTCTCCTACTTTCTGTTTTCTCTCTTAGCTTCCTGCTGGTTCTGTTGAATCTTCCACTTCCTGATAGACACCTTAATCCTGCCTTTATACTAATAACGTATTATTTTTACCCTTTTTTCTAAGTTAAAGACATGGTTAATACATAGTAAGTGTAAGTTTCTTTTCAATACTTGTCTGTTTTTCCAAATTCTTTGTTATTTAGTCTACCATCATTACTTTAGTTGGTAAATATAAAATCAACAAGTAGCTCTACTGGCATTTTGATTAGAATTATATTGCTTATTAATTCTTTTGGGAATAATTAACATCTTTATAGTACTGAGATTTCCCACTTTGAATCATCTCTGTGTCAATTATCTATACATCTTTTCATTCCTAGTTTTTTTTTAAAGATTTATTTTTTGTTTTTATTGGAAAGGTTGATATACAGAGAGGAGAGACAGAGAGGAAGATCTTCCATCCGATGATTCACTCCCCAAGTGAGCGCAATGGCTGATGCTATGCCTATCCGAAGCCAGGAGCGTCCTCCGGGTCTCCCACATGGGTGCAGGGTCCCAAAGCCTTGGGCCGTCCTCTACTGCTTTCCTGGGCCACAGGCAGGGAGCTGGATGGGAAGCGGGGCTGCTGGGATTAGAATCAGCGCCCATATGGGATCCCATGGCGTGCAAGGCGAGGACCTTAACCACTGCGCCACCGCACCGGGCCCTTCATTCCTAGTTTTTAAAAATCATATACAATTATGGATACTATGTGGTATTTCAGTGTTTATCACTGTATGTATACAGTGTTATACAATCAAAATAAATATAACTGTCCTTTTAAACATTTAGAATTCCTTTATTGCATAAATCCCATCTTGGAGCTTTTGTATTTTTATACAGAAATATATCTGGGGCCTGATGTAATGGTTTAATTGTTAATTTTTTGCCTGTTATTCACAGTGCAGCAATGAAAATGGGAGTACAGATGTCTCAATCCTAGATTTTCATATCGTTTTTACCTAATAACCTATGAAGTTAATTCATAAGCTTAAGGTCATGTTTGACCAATCTCTGAGTAATTTGAAAAACTAATTTAAATATAGATCAATCTCTGACTTATCTCTGAAATGTTGTTTCTGTGATTTGCACTTTTAAAATATGGCTGTCTTACTTGGTTGTATATGCTTATAAAACCTTGAGACTTATAAAAACTATTTGTACAGTGTTACTGTTTAATTATTATATATGGGCTGCATGTTTTATCCATAAGTTGCAATGATAGGAATTAATTACAATAGGTGACTATTTCAGTCAAGAGCATTAGTTTTAATTCTGTTTTCTTAAGAAAGTAATTTTTTTTAAAAGTTTTTTTGTTTGTTTTATTTATTTCTGTATTCAACCAGGCCTGTCTTTACAATTTACCTTAGGGGCTGTCCTAATAAGAGCTTAGAATTTACTGTTTGGGTAGCAAAGTTAAGAAAGATTGATTTCAATATTGTCTTTTACTCTGGAGTTTTAAAAAAAATTTAAAGCACATGTTAATGGTAATTTTAATATTGCCAGAAAGTTGTGTATTTTGTAAGATGCTTTCTGTAAGTCATAAATTCCTTATGAATTCTGTGTAGCAGTTTTTTTTTTAAAGATTTATTTTTATTGGAGGGATATTTTACAGAGAGAAGGATCAACAGAAGGAGGTATTCCATCTGCTGGTTCACTTCACAGCGGCTGCAATGGCTGGAGCTAAGCCCATTGAAGCTTAGAATCAGGAGCTTCTTTCTAGGTCTCCCATGTGGGTGCAGGGGTGCAAAAACTTGGACCAGCCTCCACTGCCTTCTCAGGTCATAATTTGGAGACTGGATTGAAGGGGAGCAGCTGGGTCTCAAACTGATGCCCAAATGGATGCTGGTGTTGTATACAGAGGATTACCCTGTTATATCAGCATGCTCACCCGGTTTGGTTTCTTTGGAACATGTTTTATCCTGTTCAAAGTTATAAAGAAGTTTGTAAAATTGCATTTATGTTATTAGTTGAGTGCCAGAAAGTCATACTAGAGATGAAGCATTTCCCTTATGGAAGTTAAAAATCAAATTTACTCATATTTTAATAGATATTACTTAGACATATCTTCAGTCTTGTATCTTCTCAGATGTTGGTTTTATGGTACCTTTCAGTTTCTGAAAATAAGAGCAATTTAGGGAGGATTTGTGTGGTAATAATACCAAATGGCTAAAGCTCGTGTTTAGCCTAGTGGTTAAGATTCCTAAACCTCCTGTCCAAGTTCTTAAGTTTAATTCCTGGCTCTGGTGCCTGATTAATGCAGACACTGGGAGGCGCACTGGTGGCTCCGGTAGTTATGTCTCTGTCACCCACATGGGAGACCTGACCTGTGTTTCTGATCTCAGCTTTGGCCTTCTGGCCCAGCCCCTACCCAGCCCAGACTGGAAGCTGTGCCTGTTTGTGGAATATGCCAGTTTGGTCACTCCTTCTGTGCTGCTTTCTGTCTATGGCTCTCAAAACAAACAAGCAAAATCAAAGGATTGTTGACACTGGGATACCTAAGACTTTAAAAATTTTTGTAGAGAATTTTAAACTATGAGCTTTCCCTGTAAATTCTTTTTGTTTTGCTATTTCGTTAAATTTCTCTTGGGGCATTTGCTTTCTTGTAATTTTTTTAAAAAAAGATTTATTTATTTTTATTGCAAAGTCAGATATACAGAGAGGAGGAGAGTCAGAGAGAAAGATCTTCCATTTGCTGGTTCACTTCCCAAGTGGCCGCAGTGGCCAGAGCTGAGCTGACTCGAAGCCAAGAGCCAGGAGCCTCTTCCAGGTCTCTCAGGCAGGTGCAGGATCCCAAGGCTTTGGGTCTTACTTTACTGCTTTCCCAGGCTACAAGCAGGGAGCTGGATGGGAAGAGGGGATGCTAGGATTAGAACCAGCGCCCATATGGGATCCCAGTGCATGTAAGGCAAGGACTTTAGTTACTAGGTTACTGCGCTTGGCCCTGTAGTTTAAAGTTTTTTATTTATATAAATGGGGAAAGGGACATCTGTCCATTGGTTTAATCCCCAAATGCTGCAGTAGTCGGGTCTGAGCCAGGCTGAAGCCAGGATCCTGGCACTCAGAGCAGGTCTCCTATGTAGGTGCCAGGGAACCAATTGCTGTAGCCATTACCTACTTCCTTCCAGGGTACACATTAGATGGATGCCAGGAATGTGAGGAAATCTGGTACTCAAACCTAGGCACCCCACTATGGGCTGTGACTCCAGGAAAATATGTGGGTGTCTCTGGTATCATCTTAGCTGTTGCTCAGGGCACTCACCTATAATGTTTGCTTTTTAAGCCCAAGAAATTGCTGTAAAATCTTCTAGTTGAGTGGTTTGTATTTTTTCATAGATTCGTCTGAAAACTACCTTGAAGCAAAGACTTTTGAGGGCTCCTGTGCATTGCATCTTGCTGCCAGTCAAGGACACTGGAAGATTGTGCAGGTTCTTTTAGAAGCTGGGGCAGATCCCAATGCAACCACTTTAGAAGAAACTACACCATTGTTTTTAGGTAATGTATGCTTTTTGTGGCACACATGTGATTTAATTGTTCTTCGAGTTGTTTTATTTACTATGTGTTCTTTAAGCAAAAATTACACCACCACTTTTTTTTATTCTGAGACTAAAATATTTCTAATGATTACCTCTTGTTTTCTACCCTCAAGAGATAGTATCTGGGACTTCATTGTTTACTTAAAGTTACAAATTCTGTTTGTTGCCATGGTAGTTACAAGGTTACTTGTGAATATGCTTGTATTTTCTTTTTCTTGGCGTTAAGATATTAGAAAGGTATAATGAAGGAAATCATCAGCTAATCTCTGAATGTCAGTTTTCTGCTTGCTTAAATCACTATCCATTTATTTTAAAGATTTATTTGTTCTACTTGAAAGTCGGAGTTACAGAGTGAAAGGAAGAGAGAGAGAGATCTTAACATCTGTTGATTCACTCTCCAAATGGCTTTGATGGCCGGAGCTGGGCTGATCTCACGCTGGGAGCTGTGAACTGCTTCTTGGTCTCTCACGTGGTTGCAGGCCCCACAGGCCTGGGACCTCCTCTGTTGCTTTTCTAGGCCATAAACGGAGCTGGATTGGAAGTGAGCAGCTGGGACTCAAACTGTTGCCCATACAGGATGCCTGCACCACCGCAGGAGGAAGACCAGTTTGCTATGTCTCCATACTGGCTCCAGTTCACTATTTAGATGTCTTCAGTTATGGATTCTGTTTTTTTAATTCCCTAAGGTCAAAGATCAATTTGTAAATGGCACTATTCCAGTGATTCTTTTTTTTTTCCTTCTGTCTCTGATCATGTTTTCTTTCCTGAATGTTTTGTCTCAGAGTGCTTAGTAGAACATGAGATAATTAGGAGGATAAAATCTTTGAAATCAAACCAGTATATCAGAAATACAATTTTGATCTTGCCACGTGTAATTTGTGTCTTCATATACTTATTGTGTGATTCAGTTTCCTCTTTTTTTGTTGTTGTTGTTGATTTGGAAGCAGAGGTAATGGCTTAGAGAGGAAGGCATATAGAGAGATATTGGTTCTTTCCCCAAATGGCCTCAAAGGCTGGTACTGTACCAGACTGAAGATAAGAACCTTAAACTTCTTCCATGAGGGTACAGGGGCCCAAGCACTGGACCATCTTGTGCTGGTTTCCCTGGAGCATTAGTGGGGAGCTGGATGTGAAGTGGAACAGCTGGTATTGAACCAGCGAGCGTATGGGATGCTGGTATTACAGGTAATAGCTTAGCCTGCTGTGCCAAAATGCCTGTTCCCCAGTTTTTCTTTACTTCTAATGTGAGGATGAGAGTAATAGTATCTATGCCATCCTTGTTATTTGCCTGAGATAAAATGAGATGTCTCTGAAGGTACTTTTTTCTTATGAACTTAAAAAAATTTATTTAAAAAGTGTATAATATATACAGCAAAGTTCATTTTATTTAACAAGTTAACTTAAAAAAAATTTTTTTTGAATGGTAGAATGACTACAGAGTAATAGTGATGGAATTTGATATATATATATGTAAATATATATATATTTAGAGAGAGAGAGAGATCTTTTCTGTTTGCTGGTTTATTCCACAGATAGCCATAGCAGCTGGGCCTGGACCAGGTGGAAGCCAGGAACTGGAGCTTCATCTGGGTCTCCCTCAGAGGTGCAGGTGTCCCAGGAGTTGGGCTGCCCTCCACGCTTTCCTGGGTGCATTAGCAGGGAGCTGGTCAGAAATGGAGCAGCAGAGACTCAGATAGGTGCCCGTATGGGATCTGAGGCTGTGGCCGTGCTAATCTTCTCTGCATCATTCCAATTTTAGTATGTGTGATGCCGAAGTGAGCACGAGGCTGTGGCCGAATCTACCTTATCACAATGCTGATCCCTGGAGTAGTTTTAGTAGCAACACGAAGAATTATCATATACTTTCCAGTCTTAATTTTGTTCTTTTACCATTTTACTTTTTCATTTTCTTTATATTTATCCATATTAAGTTATAGACAGAGTGCCTTCTTACGATTTTAATATTCAGGTTGTTTATTTTCTTAAATGTTATTCGGTTTGGGTGTGTCTGATGCTGCTTCCTAGGTTTACAATATGCATTTCTGGAAGGAATACCACATAAATGACAGGATATCTTAGCATATTTTACCAGGTAGAATATGACCTATTCCTGGGGATGTTATTTTATAAATGTACTTTGAGCATGTGACAAGTTTAATTTTCTCAGTGTTTTATGGAAGCTTTGGTATAATATGCTTTGGGTTTCTTAGTGAATTTTTTGCTTTTTTTCTATTGTTTTTTCCTCTGATTTCCACATTTACCCCATTGTGGATATTCTGTACAAACTATACAGTAAGTATTTATTGCTGCCTCACTTTGTGCAGTCTTTGTTCTAATTGCTGTGTCCAAGGAATTTTCTATATAGAGAAATAAAAAAAGAAATGTAGTTCTATAAAAGATAGAGGAGTTCAGAATTTTAGGACAGCTTCCTTGGATGGTAAAGGACAGATTATACGAGATTATTTTACCAATAGTAAAAGTATTAATTTTTGAGCAGAGGCTATATTTACTAAACCCTGTTTTGAGTGTTTTAAATGAATTAGATCATTTGCTCTTCAATGTGATCCATGAGATGTGTTCTATTGTTACTGTCACTTTTACAAATCAGGAAACTATAATAGACTGGATTTAAAGACAGTCTTTGAACCTTGATCATGGTGTTGGCTATGTTTTGGAACAGAATGGCATTCCTGAACTGATTCAGTGAACTGTTAAATAGATATCCATTTTGTAAAAGTTTCGTAGTTATATATATTTGGCAACACGATGTGTTATATTCCCATTGTAGAAAAACTTGAAAATGTTAGCCATGTAACTTAGCATATATGAATAGTTTGAAGTATCCTCTGCTCTCTTTGTGGTATCCTATTTTAGTGTTTTGATAATTTTTATTCCAGATTGCAATTATTTATTTTCTCCTTTATTTATTGACTGTTCTTCTCCACTAGAAAGAATGTCAGGAGAGCAAGGATTTTATTTCTCTTGTGTGCTGCTATAACTCCAATATATAGATCAGTTCCTGGTATATTGTAGATATTCAGTTGAACTTGCTCATTGAATGAAAGGATGAAAGTCTTTCAGAAGACCTTTCATAAAATAAAGCTTATTTAATTTCATCCCAGCACTTTGAAATTTATTTGAGCATTTTCCTTTATGCTAGACTTAGGAATACCTCAAGGAACATTAATATTACCTGTGATTTTTGAGAAATACTGTTTTGGTCTTGTAGTTCACGGTTTTGAAATATGACCTCACTATGAAGTTTGGTATTGTGCCTACTTAAGAGTATTTGGAGATAAGTAGAAATAGAGTGGTTTATATTTCAGGATATAGTTAACTTGCAGTTTTTTTGTGTTAATGAAAAGCTGCTAAGATAATATAAATCGACAATAGATTTAAATCACTTATTTATTATTTATTTTATTTAGTTTTATTTAGTTTCTTTGGCAACAAATTTACTGTCCTATGTTTTGAATTGGATTATTCAAAGAGTAATTTGACTTAGTGATGAGGTAGTGTAGTACTCCTTGAGCTACCTGTAGTACTCTTTTGCACACAAATACTATGTTTCTTTCAAAATGAGAGACCAATAAGAGAAAGTAAAAATCTGGAAGCATCTCCTTCTCTTTCTATGTGAAAATTGATATTGTTGAACATCTTTTTGCTAATAGTTTAATGTTTTCAAAAGAAGTCTAGTCCGTTAGATCTTTTCCTTGTCCTTGCTTTCTCTCCCCGCCATGCTCCCTGTGTGCGTGAATAGTAAATATTCTAAGGGTAAGTTTGTAAAACTTATTTGGAAATTAAAAATATCTTTTTTTAAAGATTTATTTTTATTATTTTTTTATTGGAAAGGAGGATATACAGAGAGGAGAGACAGAGAGGAAGATCTTCAGTCCAATGATTCACTCCCCAAGTGAGCCGCAACGGCCAATGCTATGCCGATCCGAAGCCAGGAGCCTCCTCCAGGTCTCCCACGCGGGTGCAGGGTCCCAAAGCTTTGGGCCGTCCTCGACTGCTTTCCCGGGCCACAGGCAGGGAGCTGGAAGGAAAGAGGGGCTGCCGAGATTAGAACCGGTGCCCATATGGGATCCTGGGTGTGCAAGGCGAGGACCTTAACCACTGTGCCACTGCGCCGGGCCCAAAAATATTTTTTTTATAATATAATTGATTCTATGTGAAAATCCAGTGTATCATTTAGGAAATATAGATTTTCTTCTTCATTTGTAAGAGAGAAATTGGAGACTCAAATGCAACTTCATGTAAGTTGATAGAAAAATATGTGCAGAAACTGTACAGCATGAACTTTAGACTTTTGGGCAATTATTTTTCAATTTTTATTCTTCATATTCTATATAACCTTCAATATTAAACAGAGCAGTAACGTTTAATCAGAACAAAGTTTTTTTATAAACAGTGTTTCATGATACTGCCTATTTCAATATTTAACTGTAGAATGTGTCATATTGTAGTTCACGTATCATATCCTTTAACTCTGACTTTGCTGGAAGATTCCAGAATGAAAGTAAAACCCATCACCTGCTTTTCACTACTACCTTCATGGATGTTGATCAGGAGATTGCTTTGACGTGTTGAGGATTTGAGGTTTCATATTCATGTATCTTAGTATGTATTGATTAGACTTTGTAGAGTTAGCATTAGAATTTTGAACTGCATTAGAATTTTTCATCTTCTGTAGAGTTTGTAACAGAAGCTTTTTTTTTTTTTTTAAGAATCAGCTTTTTTACGTTAGGATAGGCTCTTGAAAATACTGATTCGAGTTTCTAGGAACAAAAGAAAAATATGGAATTCACTAAAAGTTGCATTTAAAGGTGTTAATTTGATTTTTCCATGTTTACTTTGCATTTAAAAGGTGTTAATTTTATTTCCCATGTTTACTTTTATCTATATTTTTTAATGTTTTTCACTGAGTTACAGAGAGGCAAGGAGACAGAGCTCTGA